GGGGGAGGGGGAGGAGGAGGAAGAAGAGGAGGAGGAAGAAAGGGGAAGGTCACCTGTTCAAAATTCAGCTGCTTGGCAACAGACCCATATTTATGACGGTCGCAGCGTCCCAGGGGGTCTCGTGATCCCCCTTTTGCGACCTTCTCTCAAGCGAAGTCAAGGGGGGAAGCCAGTTTCACTTAACAACTGGGTTACTAACTGAACTGCAGTGATTCACTTAACAACCGTGGCAAGAAAGGTCATAAAATGGGGCAAAACTCACTTAACAAATGCCTCCCTTAGCAACGGAAACTTTGGGCTCAATTGTCGTTGCAAGTCGAGGAGAAGCCCCAATGGGTCCTTCAGCTGGGGAATCCTTTTTGAGGATTGCATTCAGAAGAAACACTTTAGAATAGAATGACAGAGGTGGAAGGGACCTTGGAGGTCATCTAGTCCAACCCCCTGCTCAAGCAGGAAACTCTATACCATTTCGGACAAATGGCTGTCCAGTCTCTTCTTAAAAACTTCCAGTGTTGGAGCATTCACCACTTCTGGAGGCAGGTTGTTCCACTGGTTAATTGTTCTCACTGTCAGGAAGTTTCTCCTTAGTTCTAGGTTGCTTCTCTCCTTGGTTAGTTTCCATCCGTTGCTCCAGTTGCTCCCTCTTCTTTGTAGCAAAGCGTTAGATATTGGAATGCTACTATCAGGTCACCTTTAGTCCTTCTTTTCATTCAATTAATTAAGATTTTACTCTTAGCAGCCCCCTACATATCAATCTTGCCTCTGTCCATGATCAGAGTCCCCCTCGCTTTGTAACCTCCAGTTCTGATCAGAACGGATAAAGTCAGCTTTGGAGCCACCAAAGAATTAGGAAATCTCTCTAAGTATTGTTTAAGTGTCTCTTTATCTAATCCAATTGCTAAAAAAAGACAAGGCCAAGGGTCTCTTTGGTGAAATCCTCAACTGTTAGCCAACACCTCCCTAAAAAAAGGCATCTGACTTTAGCAATAGCCCCCCCTCCTTTGCAACCCAACTGAAGTGGAACCTCCAGAACTAATGGAGTAATTGTGGGGAAGGTCAACTAGTAATTTATTGCCAAAGTAATTTATTTTCTAGATTGTTTTTTTTTTCCTCTTCTTTTCTTCCCTCCCTTCCCTGCAGGCTCCTGTTTGGCTCTCTTGTTTTAAAGTCAGGATTTTCGTTCTTGCTCCCGGTTTGGATGCAAAGCTGTAATCAGCCTCTCCCCACCCCCAAAAAAAACAACAAACCACCCAGAAAAGTTGATTCCATTAAAAAAAAAAGCGATTGCAGCCAGAACTGCAAGTCAGAGCCAGAAAGACTCTCCTTTCTCCTGAATTTCCAAGAAAGAGAGAGACTTTATTTTATTTTTATTTTTTTGGGCCCATCTGGAATGCCAACCACAAAGTATTTGACTCCCAGGGAGAAAAGGAGAGGTTAATGTCTATGGAGGTTCTCCGTCATCCAGGTCCTGGTTGTCCGTCCCAAAGATGCTTTTTCCAAAGCCACTGGACTTTCTTGTTTTTTCTTTGAAGACGTTTCGCTTCTCATCCAAGAAGCTTCTTCAGTTCTGACTGGAGAGTAATAATAATAATAATAAAGTTGGAAGGGACCTTGGAGGTCATCTAGTCCAACCCCCTGCTCAGGCAGGAAACCCTATACCAGTGATGGCGAACCTTTTAGAGACCGAGTGCCCAAACTGCAACCCAAAACCCACTTATGTATTGTCGGGTGCCGGGTAGGTGTGGCCCATTGGGTGGGCGTGGCTGCAGTGATAACAGCAGACTGGGTGGGACTAAAAAGTTCAATCAATCAGTTCCAACTTTGCAAGATCTTTTTTTTTCCCTGCGAGAAGTTGAAATTGAGTAATTGAACCTTTTTTTTTTTTGCACATGGTGGCAGAGGCCTAAAGCGAAAAGGTTTTATAAAACCCAGCTGAAGGCCTAGGATGGTGCGCGTGCCCAAAGAGAGGGCCTCTGTGTGCCACCTGTGACACGTGTGCCATAGGTTCACCACCACGGCCCTATATCATTTCGGACAAATGGCTGTCCAGTCTCCTCTCCAAAGCCTCCAGTGATGGAGCACCCACAACTTCTGGAGGCAGGTTGTTCCACTGGTTAACTGTTCTCACTGTCAGGAAGTTTCTCCTTAGTTCTAGGTTGCTTCTCTCCTTGAAGAGTTTCCATCTGCTGCTTCTTGTCCTGCCTTCGGGCACTTTGGAGAATAGCTTGACTCCCTCTTCTTTGGGGCAGCCCCTGAGATATTGGAACACAGCTATCATATCCCCCCTCATCCTTTTCTTCATTAAACTAGACATCCCCAATTCCAGCAACCGTTCCTTATATGTTTTAGCCTCCAGTCCCCTAATCATCCTCTTTGTTGCTCTTCTCTGCACTCTGTAGTGGGGGAATGGAAGGAGTTATAACTATAGGAATACAGGAATATGAATCCTTCCATTCCCCCGCCATCCGGTCAGAGCTGGAGAAGCTTCTGGGATGAGAAGCGAAACGTCTTCGAAGAAAAATAAGAATATCCAGTGGCCTCCTAAAAAAAACACACCTTTGGCACAAAAAGGAGAGGTCGTTGCAGCTTCCAAGGAAGGAATCCCCACCCTGTAAATAAGAATTTCTTCCTGCCCCCCCCCCTTATTTTCAAAAAACTTAACAGCTCCCTGGCCCTGAGCAGATAGGTGGGGAGAAAGCTCAGATAAACAAAACACAACACAACATTTGTGCAGATTCCTCCCCGGGCCCAGCGAAAGGGTGATGCATCAGTCCTTGGAGTCGGATAAAGCTCAACCATGATTACATTGGCTTCCCCCTTATCTGGATGTCGGGGCCTGCGGGAATGGCCTTGGGAGGCAGGAGGGAGAGCCTGCAATGTATCCCAGAACGTCCTGTACGTGGGATCTCTCAGCCCCACAGAGGATGGGGGGGGGAGAGAGAGCACCCCGAGGCGCCTTTCGGAAAAGGATCCCCCCCTAGTTTTTCAGAGAGTTAATAAAAGAAAAAAGGAAAAGGAAAAGTGAGGAGAAAACGCAGGAAGTCTTGCGAGGAGCTGTCAGTGCAACTTTCCCACCCGGACAGAGGCGGAGCGCCTAGCTGTGCTCCTTGGCTGGACTGCTTGGGGAGGGGAGCGCCTGGTGAGCGGGCCTGGTCCCCGTTTTACAAGGTGCCGGAAGGGTTGAAGACCGGGATTGGTGCCTTCTGTGGTTTCCCTTCCCTCTTCCTTTCTCTTTCCTCTTTCTTCTTTCCTTCTTCCCTCTTGCCTTTCTTCTTCCCTTCCCTGTTCCTTTCCCCTTCTGCTTCCTTTCCTTTCCCCTCCTTCTTTCCCTTTCTCCTTCCTTTCCCTTTCTCCTTCCTTTCCTTTTCCCTTTCTCCTTCTTTTCCTTCCCTTTCCATTCCCTCCCTTTCCCTTTCCCCTTCCTTTTCTTCCTTCTTCCCTTCCCTCCTTTCCCCTTCTCCTTCATCTCCCTCTTCCTTTCACTTTCTTTTTCTTCTTCTCTTCCCTCCTTTCTCCTACTCTTCCCTCTTCCTTTCCCTTCCCTTCCTTCTTTCTTTCCCTTTCTCCTTCCTTCCCTTTCCATCTTCGTTTCCCCTTCTGCTTCCTTTCCCTCCTTTCCCTTTTTTCTTCCTTTCCCTTTCCTCTTCCTTTCCTGTTCTGTCATTTCCCCTTCTGCTTCCTTTCCCTTTCTCCTTCCTTTCCTTTCCCTTCCCCTCCCTCTTCCTTTCCCCTTCCCTTCCCTCTTCCTTTCCCATTCTCCTTCATCTCCGTCTTCCTTTCATTTTCTTTTTCTTCTTCCCTTCCCTTTCTCCTTCTCTTCCCTCTTCCTTTCCCCTTTCCCTTCCCCTCCTCTTTCCCTTTCCTTTCCCCTTTCTCCTTCTTTCCATTCTCTCCCTTTTCCTTTCCCTTTCCCCTTCCTTCTTTCTTCCCTTCTCCATCATCTCCCTCTTTTCTTTTCCCTTTCCACTTTCCTTCTCCCTTTCTCCTTCTCTTCCCTCTTCCTTTCCCCTTTCCCTTCCCTTCCCCTTGCCTTAGAAGATTTCCAGCCCAATGATTCTAGATTGTATGTTCTTTCCGAGAACTTAAGTAAGGTGGACTCTTGCGTACCTTTCTAGTTTTTCACGTCAAAGTTCATAATTTTCACACAGAGGTTCATCTACCACCTACCTTTCCAGCTTTGCATGTAGAGGTCCATTGTTTTCACCTTGAACTTCATGTGACGTGTCCCATTCTACTTTTTTTTCACACAGAACAATATGTCCACGTGGTTAGTAGAACGATCTGAAAAGTACGTTACTGAAGACGGAGGTAGAACAATGGTTATTTTGCTATTTTTTTTTCTACCATATAGTCATTTTGAGGATTACAAATTATATTTTTTAGTTGTTGGGAGATATTTTCCTACCGAAGAAGTCATGTTCCCTCTAGTGGAGAAATAAAGGTGGACATAATAGCTGCAGAAGACAGGCTTTCTGGACTGAAGGCTAAAACATATAAGGAACGGTTGCTGGAATTGGGTATGTCTAGTTTAATGAAGAGAAGGACGAGGGGGGACATGATAGCAGCCTTCCAGTATCTCAGTGGCTGCCCCAAAGAAGAGGGAGTCAAGCTATTCTCCAAAGCGCCTGAAGGCAGGACAAGAAGCAACAGATGGAAACTGATCAAGGAAAGAAGCAACCTGGAACTAAGGAGAAACTTCCTGACAGTTAGAACAATTAACCAGTGGAACAACCTGCCTCCAGAAGCAGTGAATGCTCCAACACTGGAAGTTTTTAAGAAGAGACTGGATGGCCATTTGTCTGAAATGGTATAGGGTTGGACTAGATGACCTCCAAGGTCCCTTCCAACATTATTATTATTATTATTATATTATTATTATTATTATTATTATTACTACAACTCTGGACAATTCCCTACTTTTGAGGCATATCTGACATTTAAAAGGTCTCCTATATTAAAAAAATGTAAAACTTTTTAAAACAAAAATTACACAAAATTAACATGAAAAAATACTTTAAAAACCCCATATCTATCTATCTATCTATCTATCTATCATCTATCTATCTATCTATCATCTATCTATCTATCTATCTATCTATCTATCTATCTATCTATCTATCTATCTATCTATCTGGTCTCTATCTAGTATCTATCTATCTATCTATCTATCTATCTATCTATCTATCATCTATCTATCTATCTATCTATCTATCTATCTATCTATCTATCTATCTATCTATCTGGTCTCTATCTAGTATCTATCTATCATCTATCTATCTATCTATCTATCTATCTATCATCTATCTATCTATCTATCTATCTATCTATCTATCTATCTATCTATTTGTCTGTCTATTAAAAGAGATTAAATTGGTGATTGTTATGCCGAGTCCTTTCACTCTAATGTAGTTGTAGACTTTATTTATCCATCTTGTGTTCAGTTGATAGTAAACACACAATAGCCAGCAGCAAGTGTACAAAATAATTTATTACAGCATTACATTGTTGACTTTTTACAGTAAGTTTTTCATTCAACTATTGATCCTAAGTAAATGACAAAGGAGATTGTCTTAATGACATCTTGGTAAAACTTCCCTTTTTTTTTAAATTTTGCATAGGACCTCAGTCATCTGAAATATTTACATTACTGGGGGGGGGGGATGAAAGCAAACTGGTTCCCCTGTTTGTTTGTTTTTAAACTATTTTTTTTTTATACAAGCCACAGTGAATTTCCTTTTACATTTTCAGGAACCGTTCTTTATCTCCTGAAAGGGGAAAAAAAACAAACATTTAAAACTGAATCAAAACGTTGATAGGTTATATGCAAAATGCCTGTAACGGTAACATATAAAAAATAAAAGGGAGGGGGAAAAAAGAGGCAATGCGATTTATAGTTGGACTAAGTTGTGCTTTAAAAAAATAACAACCTCTTAACGTTAATAGCTTTGCAGCATGTGATACCACAATATTTTTGCGACTGTGGGTTTCCGATTCATTTCTCGAGAATTTTAACGGAGCTTCCCGTTATTATGGTGGCCGCATTCTCCGTTGGAAGTGAAATGTTTTACAACTCTCTAAGTAAATTACAAGGGATCTTAATAATCACAATAATGGCAACTTAATGGCAGTAAGTGTTCAATGAATCACTGAAAGGAATCGTGAACCCAAATAATTTACCGTTTTAAAAAAACACATTCTCCAATTTTAAAAACCCAAATGCACCTTTCCAGTTAAATCAGAATTTCCATATAACACTAGGAAACTGACAAAACTATGCCCATATGCACATCATCAAGGATCCATGCTTTGAAAGAAGTGGAAAAGAATATTTGCAGCTGAGGGTTGAAATGAGGGGTCCTTGGTGTTCTCTGAGCTGGGTGGTTTTCTTGCAGACGTTTCATGACCCAACTAGGTAACGTCATCAGTGCTAGAAGGGGGCGTAGTTTGCTGTGTGCTTGTTACCTAGTTGGGCAATGTATCTCAAAGGTGCTTTTTCAAGAGGCCAATTTGGACTTCCTTGTTGTTTTTAAGACATTTTGCTTCTCATCCAAGCTTCTTGCAGGCAGTTGGTCATTTGCCTTCTTTTAGAGAGTCGTTGAGGCCACTTGGACCCTGAAGACACCTCTTCTCTGTGGAACACCTTGCAGAAGTTCTCAAACTCTGCTGACCTTTGGGAAAACCTTGAAGATCTAGCTGCTTTTCCAGACATGGAGGAAGAACCTCCCATCTATGTCAAAATTGGACAGCCCTCAACAGAGGGAGAGGGATATGACACCACCCATCTCCCACCTACAACAGAGTCCTTTCAGCAGTTCCAGGAAGGCTCCACACCCATTTGCACCACTCAGGTGACCCTGAGGACACAGGTAAACCTCCCGGTGGCCTCAAGGACCCTCTAAAACAGTGGTTCTCAACCTGTGGGTCGGGACCCCATTTGGGGTCGATCGACCATTTCATGGGGGTCGCCAAGCAAGGCTGTCCGCCATTTTTTCCCCCTTTTCCGGAGGGTGCCTTACCTCCCTTGAGCTGGGCCAGCTGGTGGTCGGCCTGCTCCGTCTCTGCCGCTTGCCAGCTACGCCTCGGCCGGCGCAGGGGGCGGAACCACGCATGTGCGGCGCTCCCGGGCAGGGAAAGTCCTCGACTTATGACCGGTTGGGTAGTCCTCGACTTACGACCAGTTTAGTCCTCGACTTACGACCGGTTGGGGTCGCGGCATTAAAAAGGTTGAGAACCACTGCTCTAAAAGGATGCAGATGACCAGCTGTCTGAAAGGAGCATAAATCCTTCCATTCCCCACCATCTGGTCAAAGCTGAAGAAGCTTCTCGGATGAGAAGCGAAACGTCTTCAAAGATAAAGAAAATCCAGTTGCCTCCTGAAAAAGCACCTTTGGTACCACCATGACCTGGATGACGTAGAACCTCCATAGACATTTAGTTGGGCAACGCAACATCCGCAAGAAAACAACCAAGCTCAGCGAGCACCAAGGAACCCACAAAAACCTAAAACCGATGAAAAACATGTGTGAGGATATATTTATCCTGGTTTGTTTAACGTTCACATGCAGGACTCTCCAGGGATGGGGACGAAGCCAAGATGGCGGCCGCTGCTTCTCCCCTTACGGACATCGTCCTTGTATTTCGTCCGACACGTTTTGAAAGAGGCGATCGTATTTATTGGTATAGGCCAGGGGTAGGCCACCTTGGCTCTTTTATGAGGCATGGACTTCCACTCCCAGAATTCCTGAGCCAGCCTGGCTCAGCTTGGAAACTTCTCCCTTTTCCCTCAGCATGGCTGGCTCAGGAATTCTGGGAGTTGAAGTCCACGAGCCATAAAAGAGCCAAGGTTGCCTACCCCTGGTGTAGGCAGTGGAATTTATCGGCCCAGGATTCAGAATAGAAAGATTTATAGCTGTACAAGTATAAACATGACCGGTATTAAACAAAAAAGGGTTGTATATGTCAACATTGGCAGCTCTTATTGAGGGAAAAAAAGGAGTTTACGGCACAACAGATTTGCCTCCAGTTTCCCGAGTTGGAGATCTGAACGGTTCCGATGCAATCCCGTCGAAAGATCACATCGAAAGATCCCTGGACTGTCAGGAGCGAATCCCGCCTTCCGTTCTCAAATCTCATTGGTTAGCCCTTCGTGATTGATGGCCATACGATTCACGGGGGCAAAGCAACTGTCCTCTTCAGCGGCGGAGGACATAAAGGCCGTCGCTAACGGGAACAGTTTGTGGCACGCTGTCCGATACGCCTCGCCCTGGCTGTGACAGTCTCCAAAGGTGCCATCACGCAAGAAATCCAAGACCGTTGTTAAAGTCTGCAGGTAACAACAACACAAGCAGATACGTCAAAAGCCGAATTGCTCGTCAGATTTCATGCAGGCAGTCCTCGACTTACAAGAGTTAATTTAGTGACCGTTTGAAGTTAGGACGGCATTGGAAAAAGTGACTTGGCAAAAGAAAAAAGCTAGAATTAGGTTGAAAACTTGAGGGTCTTTGGTCTACTAGAGAGAACTCCAAACTGTCAGCTAGTGGGCTAAAGGGAGATTTTGAGACAAAGAGAAATTTGATTACTAGATTTAAAATAGTTGGGAAATAGTAAAAAAAAAAAAGGGATTAGTCTGTCTAATACTGAGGATTTAGATTTATAAGGGAAATGTAAACTAATTATTAGGAAATAGGTTTGAATTATTGACTAGCCCAGATAATATAGATGATAGATTTGAACTAATAAGGGATATTCTATTATTAAGGTGGTGATGTATTAGGGTGAGAAATAGAAAATGTTTATGAAACAGAATAAGATTATATTTAAGTAACTAATATGGGTATTTTAGACATTAGAATTTTTATGAAGTGAGCTAAAGGAAATTTGGGCTACCTGAAATAAATACTATGCATATCAAAGGTTAAATTGGAATACTGTAATTAAAAATTAGGTAAAATTTAAGAACAGGATATGGATTGTTTTATCGAGATTTATTAAGATATGTATAAGCGAAAAAATGTATTTATAAATGCGACAATGAAGTTTTCACTTGAGTTTGGTACAATTGGAAGTTTACTAGCTTAAATATGAATTAGCAAATGTTAAGGGAAACAGAGAAGAAATATTTGATGATGTAATTTGAGATACCTACTAAAGATTTGGTTATTGAAATATTGCTTAACCCAAACACCGCATTGCCTTCCAAACACTCAAATGTAAAACTGGAAAACTAATAAACTATTTTTTTTTTTAAAAGTGACTTATGACCGTGTTTCACACTTACGACCGTTGAGGCATCCCCACAGTCCCCTGACCAAAATTCAGACACTTGTCAACTGACTCCTATTTATGACGGGCGCAGGGTCCCCCGATCAGGTGATCTCCCTTTGCGAAGTTCTGACGAGGAAAGTCAGTGGGGAAACAAGATTCGCTTAACAAACCTTGTTGTGCTGACTTGACAACTGCAGTGATTCACTTAACAATTGTGGCAAATGGGGCAAAACTCACTTAACAAATGTCTTGCTTAGCGACGGAAATGTTGGGCTCGATTGCGGTCGTAAACCGACCACCTGCAGAGGAGATGACTGGGCTGAGCCCGAGGGAGGGGTCAAAGGCGTCATCAGTCAGGAGTCCCTGCACGCCTGCAAGCAATCTCAGTCCAGCCCACCTTGAATGCCTTACTTATTTCCCGCTAATTTCCCTTGACCGTTAGTAGCTCAGATGGTTGTAGAGCGTTGAAGCTTGCAATAAATCTCTATGCCCATTTGAGCTGCCTGAATCTCCTGATTTCTTTGGTGCTCAACATTTATTTTTCACATTTAAAATCATTCTGGACTCGGAAGCTCCTGTTGTGATTCCTCGCCAGCCAATGGATCCGGCAGCTGAGTCTGGGGAATCAGAGGAGGTGGAGGGGCCTGGAGGGACATCAGAGTCAGAGGAAGGCTCTGAGAAGCTCCAAGACTTACAGTCGGACGAGGAGCCTGGCCCCTCTACTCGCGCACAGGCTGAGACACAGCTATGCTGGGAGTCTGAGTTGGACAGTGATGAAGAACAGCTGGGACAAATCCCGGAGGCACGAATGCTCAGGCAAGAGAAGCGAGTAGGACAGAGGAATGCAATGGAGCGGCTCCAAAGGCAAAGGAGAAGGCATTAGGAAGCCACGCCTTGGCTGAATAATAAAAGGGAGGGTGTGGGAGGTACTGGTGGCCAAAGGCAAGCGTTTGTGTTGAGGATCGAGTTTCTGTGGACTGTGTTTGTTTGCTTTGGACATTTGCTCAGGTCTGTGAATAATAAAAGGGGATGGTTTTTTTTTCCTGTGGTTCCAGACTGCTTGTTGGAAGAGGGGTTTCTCCTTGGGAGCATAACAAGGACTCACGTAGGCTGGGACAGAACAGCTCCACCCTGGCACCTGATAGGCCAGTGGTGGCGAACCTATGGCACGTGTGCCAGAGATGGCACTCAGAGCCCTCTCTGTTGGCACGCACGCCACCGCCGCCAGCAGCAGGTCCATCAGGCCACCACCGCCGCCCGGAGCAGGAGCCCCGCCTAGCACAAAGGAGGCGAAGCGGCCAACTAGCAAACTCGAATAGAGGTGATAGAGCAGAGGTCCCCAACCATTGTCCATTGGTGGACTGGAAGGGAGGGGGAAGCATTTTACATGCGTGCATGCGCGCATGGGGCCACAACCATGCACACACTACAAATGGGGCGCGGCTAGTGCCTACGTGATACTCACTAGCCCTGCCCCGTTCTTGCGTGGTGCAGCCCCTTGTATCTGCATCCCGTGGCGCCGTGATGGCCGTTTTTGCGCCTTGCAGCACGGTGCGCCCCCGGTTTTTGCGTGTCAGAGGCAGCAGAGGTGTCTTCCTGCCCCTCCCCTTTGAGGGCACCACAATACTGATGCGGCCCTGGCACTTTGCGATAAATAAGTGGGTTTTGGGTTGCGGTTTGGGCACTCGGTCTCTAAAAGGTTCGCCATCATTGTGATAGGCCATTCCTTCAAGTAATAACGAAATATGTATTTAAAAGATGTGCTATTTGGGGAAAAAGTGTTATTTTTACCTTCACGTTTCTGTCTCTCGTCATTTCGTCGAGCCTGGTAGCAATGGCGATTGCTTTCTCTTGCCTTGAATTATCCAGGAAATACATCATTTTGGCACCTGCAAGAGGTGGGGAAAAAAAAGCAGCTTATTAAAAGCAAAGGATGTTAGTTTTATCTAAAGAAAAACCCAGGTTTTTAGCTGCTGCAGCCCATTATACTTCATATTAATCCGTTTGAAACAATTACGCAGAGAAATATCTTAAGATTAAAAAAAAAAGGAAGACATTCAATCTATTATGCATTAGGAGAATATATTTATTTATTTGCCGGATGCTATTATCCCTGTTCTGAGATACGAACATCAGAGATGTTTATTACGTGGAAAAAGATCTTCCTGCTGATGGTATTATTGACCAAACACCGAGACAACGAAATTAAAAGGCAGTCACAACAACACAATACAGAAACATATTTTTCCTTCTTTCTCTCTCTGAATGAGAAGACAAAGTTAAGCCTGCGTATTCATCAGAAGTCATGCAGATTAAATCAAAAGATAACCTGGTTTCTTTATAGCTCAATCTTTGCTTGTGACCCTATGCTTTATAATACAAGTTGTCCTGACTTACGATTTGTTTAGTGACGGTTCAAAGTTACAACGGCACTGAAAAAGAGGGACTTATGACCGTTTTTTCACTCTTACGACTGTCCTCACGATCACGTGATCAAAATCCAAATGCTCGGCAACTGGCATGTACTTATGACAGTTGCAGTGTCCCAGGGGAGGGTCACGTGATCCTTTTTGTGACCTTCTGACGAGCAAAGTCAACGGGGGAAGCCAGATTCACTCAACAACTGGCTTACTGACTTAACAATGGCAGTGATTCACTTAACACACGCGGCAGGAAAAGTGGTAAAATGGGGCAAAATTCATTTAACAAATGTCTCCTTTAGTAAAGGTCGGGCTCCGTTGTAAGACGAGGACTGCTGCACGAGAAAACGGTAATGAATTTGCAAAATTTTGCCTTACGAATTGAGCATGTCAGATTGTGTTAGTTCCTGTTCTGTTGCACACAGTTTATTCCTGCAGTGAAATGAAGGTTTATCAGCGTATCAGGGTTTAAACACGCCAGCCCCTACGCACCTGAGAGCAGATGCTGTATAGAGGTAGAGTTACGTTTGAGAAATTCTTCGTTAAAACTTTCCAAGTCTTTGCTAGTAAAAATCTTCTCCATTTCTTGGGTGAGAACTTTGTTCACGATATCTGGCAAGTTACTGTGGTTTGACACTAAGAATATAAAGAAGACGTGTTACGACCTCGAGTCAGGATGCAAAACAAAGATATTTGCTGTTGGTTTTATTTTTTTATTTTTTTAAGCAAACTCAGCAAGCGGCTGGTTTTATTCCGTACTTACCGCACTTGGAAAATTTAATCAGACATTCGTGGAGCCAGGGGTGGCTGTCATCAATAGCAAAAGCTCTTTTAACAGACTGCAACATTAGCAGAAACTTTCCTGGATTGAAAAAAATATATATGCAGTTTTATTATTTAAATAAGGTCCCATGGGAAAAGGCTTATATATATATATATACTGCTCACAAAAATAAAGGGAACGCAAACCCCTTCAGTTCCATGGTAAAATGTTCCCTTTATTTTTGTGAGCAGTATGTGTGTGTGTGTGTGTGTGTGTGTATAAATATAAAAATAAAAACAAATATAAGAAATGGAGGAGGCCTGCTTGTTGAACTGGACTATATAAATTACATAAAGAATCCTTTAAACAATTGTATTGTCTGTCTGCCTATCTCTATCATATCTATCTATCTATCTATCTATCTATCTATCTATCTATCTATCTATCTATCTATCTATCATTTATCTATCTATCTATACATCCATCCACTCACCCATCCACCTATCCTTTTTTATCTATCTATCTATCTATCTATCTATCTATCTATCTATCTATCTATCTATCTATCTATCTATCTATCTATCTATCTATCTATCTATCTATCTATCTATCTGTCTATCTGTCTATCTTTCTGTCATCTGCCTGTCTCTCTTTATCTCTATTTCTATCATATCTGTCTGTCTGTCTGTCCGTCTGTCCGTCCATCAATATCTATGTCTGTTTTTCTGGTCTATCTATGTCATTTGTATGTCTCTCTTTATCTCTATTTCTATCTATATCTATATCTATATCTATATCTATATCTATATCTATATCTATATCTATCTATCTATCTATCTATCTATCTATCTATCTATCTATCTATCTATCTATCTATCTATCTATCTATTTATCTATCTATCTATCTATCTATCTATCATCTTTGAAAATATTATTAACGGAGGCCTGCTTGTTGAACTGGACTATATAAATTAGATAGATTAGAGAAATACTGTACATTATACGGTAGCCAAGCATCTTTCTTCAAGATTAACACACTTAAGCAGGAGATGAAATATATCTGACTATTGCAGCCCTACCTAAAATAGATTTAATTAAACTAATCTAGAACTTCTCCCTGTGTTATGTACGGATAATTTTAGATGCTAAGCAAATTCAATACACGTTGATCAGAATGTAAAATTGGCAGAGGGTACAGTACATATGTAAGCCTTACAAAACCACTGGCATATTCGTGTATGTTACAACTGCACGGGTTTTACCTTTCCTGAAGTAGATTTCAAAGGCTAGTAGATGGGTATCTATGTTGTCTGCCACAAGACTCTTCAGAGGGATAAGGAACTTAATGGCCTCCTCCAGAGGATTTTCTACCTGTCTCCACAAAAGAGATCTGAGTAAGTTACAAGGGAGAGTGCATGAAAAAAACATCACGGAGTAAGCTTGTCATAACTTGGTGCCAGAGTCTTTGGTCTTTCCCCCTTTTTTTCGTAATATTTGAGTAGCGATGCTCCCACGGTAGAGAGAGATCAAAGAGGACAGACAGGTTGAGGTGCTCCATCGCTTCAGAAGACATCTTGACTGCTTGGTTCTAATCTACAGGAAGTCCTCGTCTTACAACAGTTCATTTAGTGACCGTTCAAAGTTACAACGGCACTGAAAAAAGCGACTAATGACCGTTTTTCATACTTACGACCGTTTTGGCATCCCCGTGGTCACGTGATCAAAATTCAGACGCTTGGCCACTGGCATGTACTTATGATTGTTGCAGCATCCCGGGATCACGTGATCCTCTTTTGCGATGTTCTGACAGGCACAGTCAATGGGGGAAGCTGGGATTCACTTAACAACCATGTAACTAACTTAACCACTGCAATGATTTGCTTAACAATGGCGGTTGTAAAATGAGGCAAAACTCACCTGAAAAACGTCTCACTTAGCAACGGACAGTCTGGGCTCAAATACCTGTAACTCTAGTAGCAAAGGTAGTCTTACTTGCCCCGGCTGTTGTCTAGCGACTAAAAGTAACAACCATCCTCCATATTGTAGGAATTGGTTCAGACACAATTTCTCCCAACTGGAAGAGTCCTTGCCACGGTTGTTAAATGAATCACTGCAGTTGTTGTAACACAGTTGTTAAGTGAAATGGGCTTCCCCCCATGGACTTTGCCTATCAAAAGGTCGCAAAAGGGGATCACGTGACCCCAGGACACTGCAACCGTCACTAGTACATGTCAGTTGCCAAGAATTTTGATCACGTGACCGTGAAGATGTCGGAACGGTTGTAAGTGTGAAAAACGGCCGTAAGTAAATTTTTTCTTTTTTAAGAAAATTTTATTGATTTTCTAGGTTTACATTTAAATAGTTGAAAAAGCAACGTGGCGGCTGAGTTGGTCAATAATTCAATGACATACAAATATCTTTAGTACAGATCTCAAATTATTACATTCAATATTTCCTCTATTTTCCCCCTGGTATTTACTGTCACATATTTAAACTAATACAATTCTTATTATATCGATGAAATAAAAATAACTTTCTTACATTGATCAATAATTTTTAGTTTGTACATATCCTGGTTGTTTTAACATTCAATCTTTTTAGACAATCAATGTCCTGGTTAGTTTCTCCCAATTTTTAGTTTCCCGTTAATATTTAGATTTAACGTTTAATATTTATAATTTCCAAGTTTTAAATAACCCCAATTCCCTTTATCACAATTCAACACAAGATCTAATGTTCAGGACACACGTCTTATCTATTTGAATTCTCACCATCTTACACCAACTAATTAACAATACAATATCACATTCTTATTTTCTGGTAATTTCCAAATATCTTAAATGTAGTAACCAAAATGTCTCTTATTTCAACATTTAATACTTCCTCTCTTTTTCTCTTAATATCTACTATCTCATATTTAAGCTAGTCATTTTTATTATTACCGCTAAGTAAAAAACATATTTATTACATTCATCAATAGGTTTTTGGCTTATATATATATATCTATCTATCTTAATTACCTTTACATTTAATCTTTATAAGCAAATCAATGTTCAACTTTAACTGTTAATATTTATACTTCCAAGTTTTAAATGACCAAAGTTTTCTTTATCTCAACTCATAACAATATCTGGTATTCAAAGTACAATTTTTTCAGTGCCGTTAACTTCAAGTGATCATTAAACAAACTGTTGTAAGTTGAGGATTGCCTATGATTAGTTTTTAGGAGTTAGATTGATTTTCTACTGCGTTACATCCAGGACAGGGGGTAGGCAACTTGGCTCTTTTATGACTCATGGACTTCAACTCCCAGAATTCCTGAGCCAGCCATGCTGAGGGGAAAGGGAGAAGTTTCCAAGCTGAGCCATGCTGGCTCAGGAATTCTGGGAGTTGAAGTCCACGAGTCATAAAAGAGCCATAGTTCCCCCATGTTGGCTCAGGAATTCTGGGAGTTGAAGTCCACGAGTCATAAAAGGGCCATAGTTCCCCCATGTTGGCTCAGGAATTCTGGGAGTTGAAGTCCACGAGTCATGAGGGGGGCATAGTTCCCCCATGCTGGCGCAGGAATTCTGGGAGTTGAAGTCCACGAGTCATAAAAGGGCCATAGTTCCCCCATGTTGGCTCAGGAATTCTGGGAGTTGAAGTCCACGAGTCATGAGGGGGGCATAGTTCCCCCATGCTGGCTCAGGAATTCTGGGAGTTGAAGTCCATCGGTCATGAGGGGGCCATAGTTCCCCCATGCTGGCTCAGGAATTCTGGGAGTTGAAGTCCACGAGTCATAAAGCGGCCTAGGCCTAGGCCAGAGGTAGGCAACCTTGGCTCTTTTATGACTTGTGGACTTCAACTCCCAGAATTCCTGAGCCCGCCACGCTGAGGGGAAAGGGAGAGGTTTCCAAGCTGAGCCATGCTGGCTCAGGAATTCTGGGAGTTGAAGTCCATGAGTCATAAAAGAGCCAAGGTTGCCTACCCCTGGTCCAGGAGGAACCACGCAAGGCCACGAATCCCAGCAACGAGGCAAAAGTCGGATTTACCCTTTCCAGTTTCTCAGGAACTAGTTCCTCCTTGGGGCCGCTGGTCTCTTCTTCTTCTTCGTCTCGTTTCTTCTTCTGACTCTTCTGCTGCCGCTCTCGTTCGGCGTGCTTCCTCTCCTCCTCCAACTTGGCTTTCTTCTGCGCCCGCCGTTGTTTGCTGAGCATCTTCTTCAGTTCTTTGGCAGAAAGATTTTCTGTAGGAAAAAAACAGAACATCTGTGATCTGCCCCAGCCTATGTGAGTCCTTGTTAAGCTCCCAAGGAGAAACCCCTCTTCCAAACAAGCAGGCTGGAACCGCAGGAAAAAACAATTCCCCTTTTATTATTCACAGATCTGAGTCAATGTCCAAAGCAAACAAACACAGTTCACAGAAACTCGATTCCTCAACCCGAACAGTCGCCTTCGGCCACCAGCACCTCCCACGCCTTCCCTTTTATGATTCAGCCAAGGCACGGCTTCCTAATGCCTTCTCCTTTGCCTTTGGAGCCGCCCCATTGCATTCCTCTGTCCTACTCGCTTCTCTTGCTGGTGCATTTGTGCATCCGGGATTTGTCCCAGCTGTTCTTCATCACTGTCCAACTCAGACTCCCAGCACAGCTGTGTCTCAACCTGCGCGTGAGTAGAGGGGCCAGGCTCCTCGTCCGACTACAAGCCTCAGAGCTCCTCAGAGCCTTCCTCTGACTCCGATGTCACTCCAGGCCCCTCCTCCTCCTCCGATTCCTCAGACTCAGCTGCCGGGTCCACTGGCTGGCTAGGAATCACAACAGTCTGTTTAGACACGGGCTGAATCCAAGGTCAGGAGATTTAACAAAAAAAAAAAAAAAAAAATCACAAAAGGCTACGAAAATACAAAATTAGCCCTTGCATTCATCAGCTTCTCCTCGATTTACGACCACAATCGAGCCCTCAATTTACGTTGCTAAGCAAGACGCTTCTTCGGTGAGTTTGGGCCCATTTGAGGACATTTCTTGCCCCCGCGGGTTACGTGAATCAATTGCAGTTGTTCAGTTGTTGAATGAAGCCGGCATTCCCTGTTGACTTTGATTGTCAAGACGGTCACAAAAGAGGACCCCGGGACGCTATGCGACCGTCGTAAGTACAAGTCGTTTGTCAAGCGTCTGGATTTGGATTGTGGGACCGCGGGGACGCTGCATAGCTCGTAAGTGTGAAAAATGGTCATTAGTTACTTCTTTTTTCTAGCGCCGTTGTAATTTTGAACGGTCACTAAATGAACGATTGTAAATCAAGGGCTACCTGTACTCTAATTACTGATAAAGGAGAATATTTGTAGCTCAGGGCTGAAATGAGGGGTCCTCGGTGCTCTCTGAGCTTGGTTGTTTTCTTGCAGATGTTTCTTTACCCAAACTAGGTAACATCATCAGTGCTAGAAGGGAGAGGAGTTTGCGGAGAGGAGGAGGAGGAGGAGGAGGAGGATGACTGTGGGGTCTTTGGTGCTCTCTGATCTTGCTTGTTTTCTTGCAGACGTTCCATTACCAAACTAGGTAACATCATCAGTGCTAGAAGCCTCCTCCTCCTCCTCCTCCTCCTCCAGGACTGTAGGATCTTTGGTGCTCTCCAAGCTTGCTTGTTTTCTTGCAGACATTTCATTACCAAACTAGGTAACATTCATCAGTGCTGGAAGGGAGTGGGGTTTGTGGAGGAGGAGGAGGACGGGGAGGAGGAGGAGGAGGGGGAGGAGGACTGTGTGGTTTTTGGTGCTCTCTGAGCTTGGTTGTTATTTTGCAGGTTTCATTACCCAAACTAGGTAACATCGTTAGTGCACCTGATGTTACCTAGTTTGGCGCTGATGAAGTTAGCTACTTTGGGCAATGAAATGTCTGCAAAACCACCACCAAGCTCACTGAGCACTAAGGACTCCACAGCCCCCCCCCTCCTCCTCCTCCCCCATAAACCCCACTTCCTCCCAACACTGACGATGTGACCTAGTTTGGCTCACGAAACGTCTGCCAGAAAAACCCACCAAGCTCAGGTACCCCCAAGACTCTCTTTGCCCTCTGAAACACCAAAACTAAAAGCCCAACAACCTATTTCTGCATCAGGCTGAAAAAAAAAAGGCAAACACGACTCTGGATTTCTTACCGGGCAAATAAAACGACTTGTGGAATCGCCGTTGGGAAACCAATCCAAACCTCTGTGCGACGGAAGCTTAACGTACCTGAATTCACTTCCTGTTCTTTGCTCTCGCTGGCCAGGGGGTTGTCATGAAGCTTCAAGTAAATTTCGATGGCCGATCGGGCCGCCTTGAAGTAAAAAGCGTGTTTCCGTAGCACGTCTTCCAGCCTCAGGAGGTCGACGTAGGCACGCAAGGTCATCTTCCTCATACAGTATGTGTGGAAGTCGAACTGGTCGTCTGTAATCTCAAAGAAGTGCTGAAAGACAGAGCGGAGTACAGAATGACAGAGTTGGGAGGGAGCTCGGAGGTCTTCTAGTCCACCCCTCTGCTCGGGCAGGAGAACCTAGATCAGGGGCAGGCAACCTTGGCTCTTTTATGACTGGTGGACTTCAACTCCCACAAATTCCTGAGCCAGCCACGCTGAGGGGAAAGGGAGAGGTTTCCAAGCTGAGCCATGCTGGCTGAGGAATTCTGGGAGTTGAAGTCCACGAGTCAAAAAAGGGGCCATAGTTTCCCCCATGCTGGCTGAGGAATTCTGGGAGTTGAAGTCCACAAAAGTTGCCAAGCTTGAGGAGCCCTGATACAGGGCAGGAGTGGGGAACCTTGGTTCTTTTAGGACTCTTTTATGCCCTTTTCAATCCTGCCAATCCTTTGAAAGGCAGACTTGGTGTTTTTTTTCCCCCCCAAGAAACTTAAGTTCAAATCAGAAAAGTTTGCTTAGAAAGAAGCTGAACCTGTGATAATAAGTCTGATTCTTTCTCCTTTGGATTTGGTTCTGTTTTGCGGCAGGATCCTGCTAAATTCGGGATCCTTTCCTTACTGATGCTCTTCGGAGGGTGCGTGAATCCAGCCCACGTTGGTTAGGGGGAAGTGGGGATCGGGGGAGAAAAAAAAAAGAGAAATCCATCCGTTGATCGGCTTACCCTCTCCACTTCGTGGCACTGCTTCAGAGCTTCGCCGTATTTTCCTAATCTTTGAAAAGCGAGAGCGCATTCCGTCTGAAACCACATGCACTGCATTTCGTTGAGATTCTCCGTGGCCGAAGTCCCTTCCTGGGAAACAGGAAAAGTACTTTAGAAATAGTCTTAAATCTATTAAGAGGTCCTGTAAAAATACTTCCTTCCCCATGTGCTCCAATACTGTCGTTATCCTCATTATATTTACAACTTTCTTTCTTTCTTTCCCTTCTTTTCTCCTTCCTTCCATCTTCCTTCCTTTTCTTCCTCCCTCCCTCCATTTCTTCTTTCCCTTCCCTTCCTTCCTTCTTCTCTCCATTTCCTCTTTCCTTCTTCCATTCCTTCCTCCAATTCTTCCTCCCTCCCTTCCTATCACAGCAATCACTCCAATACATTATCCTCATTATATTTACTCCGTCTTTCTTTCTTTTTCTTTCTTTCCCTTTTCTTCCATCTTCCTTCCTTCCTTCCTTTTTCTTCCTCCCTTCCTCCATTTCTTTCCTTCTTCCATTCCTTCCTTCCTTCCATCTTCCTTCCTCCATTTCTTTCTTCCTCCCTCCCTCCCTTCCTATCACAGCAATCACTCCAATACATCATCCTCATTATATTTACAACTCCATCTTTCTTTCTTTCTTTCTTTCTTTCTTTCTTTCTTTCTTTCTTTCTCTTTCTTTCTCTTTCTTTCTTTCTTTCTTTCTTTCCCTTTCCTCCTTCCTTCCTCCCTCCTTCCATTTCTTCCTTCCTTCCATCTTCCTTCCTCCATTTCTTCCTCCCTCCCTCCCTTCCTATCACAGCAATCACTCCAATACATTATCCTCATTATATTTACAACTCCATCTTTCTTTCTTTCTTTCT